AGGGAAGCATCCCTCCTGATCAATGAAAAGATTAGAAGAAAATGTGCTCAGTGGCTGGCAGAAGTACAGAAAAAGGACTGAAAGGCAGCTGCGAAATTTCGGAACCATCTAAACTCCCTAAGAAATGAAACAAACCTAGAGCAGAGGTTTATAACTACAGCTCAAGGTGCTTGACAGGAAGGGGACGAAGCTATTGAATATATAAGAACAAGGGTGACAGAAAAATTTCAACAAAGAAGTGCCTTATGCACCACAATAGACAGGGATGGATCAAGTGGCACAGTGGCTTCATTTTCACAACGAGAGTGGGAAAGGGCTGAGAAGGGGGTTCCAAGTAGTACATCAACAGGCCCAGATGGCATTCCAATTATGCTGATAAAAACATTGGGTCCGAAGTCTAAACAGACTTTGAAAGAGGCGGGGAGCAGAACAATAATCGATGGTGAAGTCCCGATGCATGGAAACTTAGCAGGATGAGCATGATCTATAAAGGAAAGGGGGACGAAGATGACATAAACAACTACCGTCATATAGCAGTGACATCATTGGTCTACCGACTGGCGATGCAGATTATAAAGGAAAGACTGCAGGCATGGATAGAGGATGATGAGAATGCAACTTTGTTCTCTTAACTGAAACGTGGCTAAACTCTTCAATAAGCAATTCCGAATTAGCACCACGCTTTCCTGGCTTTACTATATTTCGGCGAGATTGTGATGGTAAGCGTGGTGGTGGCGTCCTGATAGCTGCCCACAGTCGATTAAATTGCTCCCCAGTGGTCATCCCTTCCAGCCTTGAATTACTGTTTGTCTGCTGCAGAAATTCATATCCTCCGGTTATCATCGGAGTCTATTACCGCCCCCCCTGACGCAGATGCTTCATTTATCGATAATTTCCACAGTGCTCTTAACTTCCTGAATGCCTCTTATCCTAACATACCGGTTATTTTAATGGGTGATTTTAACTTCCCAGGAATAATCTGGTCTAACCTCGCGCTCACGATATCTAAACACACTATGGAAAGCGACTTTGTTAACACGTGCCTAACATTTGGTTTATCTCAGAGTGTTTCATTCCTAGCGCGAGCTACTGAGCACTCTTCAAATATTCTCGACCTAATTTTTACGTCACACCCCGACAACCTTGCATCCCTAGTTCCTCTCCCAAAGAATAGTGATCACGCTGTGCTTCACGCTTCGTTTTCTAAACAACCACCAGGCAAAAGCCATTCCAAGAAAACCCTCACACTCTACGATAAGGTTAACTATGCCGCCATTAACAACGAACTATCCATATTTTGTGAATGGTATTTAAACGAGTTCTTCCAACGCCCTCTTGAAACTAGCTGGCCTTTGTTCAAGTGCAAAATCCATGATTTGATCAATACATTTATACCCACAATTACAATTACGGAGCGGGCGTCTTCACCTTGGTTCAACATATCTCTTAAGCGTCTTAACAATAAGAAAAAGCGATTATATCGCTCGGCTAAACTGTCTAACAGCGCGAGCGCTTGGAACAAGTACCGCGGAACTGCAAAGGAATTTGAATCACTCGCTGCGAAGGCTAAGCGTTCTTTTTTCTCTTGTACATTACCTAATATGCTACAAAATAACCCTAAACTATTTTGAAGAGCCATTAACCCCAACCCCACTAAAACGTTACTCTTACTTGATGAACACGGCGATCCTATTCCAGGACATGTTACCCCTCAAGTGTTAAATACTGCCTTCTCTTCCGTATTTACCCCTGAATCTTGCAGCCCGCTTCCAGACTCACCATTTCTTGATCATCCTGTCATGCCAGGCATTACATTCAATTCATACGGTATTGCAAAACTAATTGACGAATTGAAACTAACGTCATCCGCGGGAATGGATGGCATCAATTCCAAAATTCTGAAAAACACTAAGCCTATAACAAGCATAATTCTTTCGCACATATTTCAGCAGTCCATTTCATGCGGAGTGATGCCAGAAGACTGGAAGCTTGGTAAGATCGTTCCTGTCCCGAAAAAAGGAAAGGTCTTTCATATTCACTGAGTAATTATCGCCCCATATTCATCACAAGTGTATGCTCTCAATTATCGGAACACATAATTTATTCCCGCGTAGTAATTTTTCTAGCTTCAGTACATTTCTTTCACCCTAACCAACACGGTTTTAAAAAAGGACTTTCATGTGACACTCAACTCGCTCTGTTCGTTAACGACCTGAGATCTAGCCTGGATAATAACATACCTGTAGGTGCCATTTTCATTGATTTCGAAAAAGCCTTTTACAAAGTTTCTCATAACAGATTATTTTTGAAGCTTTCACGTCATAACCATAATTGCCTTGTTTTTAATTGGATATGTGACTTCTTGACTAACCATAAGCAGTTCGTTTGTGCTAATAACCATCGCTCCTCCCTGTAACCTGCTGTAACCTCCGGCGTACCTCAAGGCACAGTCCTTGGTCCTCTACTATTCCTAATCTATATTAACGACCTCCCCAATAGCTTAGCGTCTAACATTCGTCTGTTCGCAGACGACTGTGTCATTTATCGTCCTTTTCACAATTCTAACGACCCTGTCATCCTACAGTCTGATCTTTGTTTGATTCAATCATGGTGCGAAAAATGGCTGATGTCCCTTAACATAAAGAAAACTTGTATCATTTCCTTCCATCGCCGTCAATCCTATTTCTCTAATAAATACTTCCTATTTGATTCTGAAATAACAGCAGCTAATTCATGTAAATACCTCGGTATCACTCTAACTTCAGATCTGACCTGGTCATTCCACATTATGAACATCACTAATAACGCCAACCGCGTGCTTGGCTATCTCCGAAGAAACTTACGTCTAGCCCCACCTTCTGTTGAACTTTTAACCTGTCTAACACTAGTCCGCCCAAAGCTAGAATACGCATGTGCCATCTGGGATTCCCATCAAATAACTCTTATAAAACGCTTGAAGCTATCCAAAGCCGTGCAGCCAGGTTCATTTATTCTGACTATTCCTATCTTAGCAGCGTCACCAAACGAAAATCTCATGCTAACATGGTTAGCTTAGCTTCATGCCGCAAAATTTTAAGACTGTGTTTGTTTCACACATTTTATCATGCATTGCACCTAAACCATGTTATCGTTCCAGCCCATCGTCTTTCATGCCGTATCAGCCATTCGAAAGCGGTTTATCCACCCCGTGCGCATACCACTGCCCATCACTCTTCATTTTTTGTGCAAACATCAACAGAATGGAACGATCTTCCTGCTGACATCGTGCACCACTCCAGCATCGCCCATGTCAAAGAAGCCATCGAACAAATCATCTGTTTGTGAACTGTCTACCTCCTCATGTAACACCCCTTGACTGGGGCCCTTGAGGTATTATAAATAAATAAAAAATACAATAGGTATGATGTTGTCAGAGGAATATGGAAAGGGGTCATGGTTCCTGGTCTGACGTTCGGTAATGCGGTCTTGTGCACTGAGATTAGAAGTTCAAGCAAGATTTGAAATTAAGCAACGTGGAATAGGTAAGCTTGCCTTAGGAGCTCACGGGAATACACCAAATCAGGGAGTACAAGGTGATATGGGATGGACATCAGTTGAGGGCAGAGAAGCTAGCAGCAAGATAAAACTTGAGAAGCGATTGAGAGAAATAGGAGAGGACCGTTGAGCTAGGAAGGTTTTCAGCTACTTGTACATGAAGAATGTCGATACAAAATGAAGGAAGCGAGCCAGAAAATTGAGTGGTAAATACTTAGAAAACAGCAGATGGCTAAACCAAAAAGAACTATCGGTTAAGAAGAAAGTGGAGGAGACGGAGACTGACATGTGGAGAATTGACATGATTAAGGAGTCCGCACTAGAGGTATATCGTACTTTTAAGCATGAAATTGCCGAAGAAAGAATCTATGATAATACCCGGGATAGTTCTCTACTGTTGGAGGCCAGGACGGGAGTATTGTGAACCAAGACATATCGGGCCAAATACGAAAGGGTAGACACGATATGCTGCGCGTGTGGAGAGGAAGAAGAAACTGCCGAACACTTGATAATGTTCTGTAAAGGGCTTCGCCATATAGTTCGGAATGATGGCGCAGAGTTTTTCAAAGTAGTTGGGTTTAGGGACAGGGAGGGCAAAATAGACTTTAAGCGGGTAGACTTAGCTAGAAGGAGGTTATCTGATTGGTGGCTAAAGTCAAGGTACGAGTGAAAATCAAACCCTTCACTGCAAAGTATGAATCCTCAACCTCACTTTTTAAAAGGAAAATGTTGCATCCGCCGGAAGAGAAAGACCAAGACCTTACATAACACCTTTATTCACGGCACTGCATGCTTGCAGCACAAACCAACGATTCACACAGCAACAGAACAAGAGCCAGAATATATACGCCCACCAGCCACTCGCGCAAGTACGATGACATGGTGACGTCACTAACACTGTTCATCGGCGATGCCTTTCACGCACCGTAATACCGATAACAACACAACACTTCTTCATCACTAGATCAAAAACGGTCGTAACACCAACGCTCAGGAGGCCGCCTTTCCCGGTTGCTCCATCTAAGAGGAATTGCATTGTTATTATCGGTTAACCCCGGGTCCGGCGGCCTTTGTTCAACCTGAGGGTCCGGTTGCACCACAGGCAGTGGCGGAGAGGCGACCTCGGAGGCGTGTGGCAGGCGTATTTCACGACGTGGGGTTCGGTCGTCGAGCACAGAATGTCGTAAATGATCAGCATGCACAAAACGCACTTGGTTTCCAAGAACAACCAAATACGTAGTTGGAGACTTCACTCGCGTAACTTTTCCTGGCAGCCATTTCACCGATTCTCCTCGCACGAAACGAACCAACACACGGTCACCAACCTATATCGCGGCTTCGCTCTGCGCTTATCGGCTGACTGTTTCATCCTTTCTACTTTCTCGGTCATGGCCTTTGTCAGATGCGGCCGCACCAAAGACAACCTGGTACGCAACTGTCTTCTCAAGAATGAATGAAACCATGTTTATTCCACTTTGTTCGCGCCGAAGGCGCTGCGGTGGACAGTCAGGGCACTATAGCAGGGGGGGGGGGTAGAGCTGCCTCCGTTTTATTACCGGACGTCATGGAGGCAGCTAAGTGGGGGCCGCTTGAATGGCTTGAATCTTGTGGCTGTCGCGGAGCCGGTCGCCAACCGGTGGCGCGGCCGGGTCCTGGAGGAACATGATGAGTGCTCGCCAGAACTCGATGGCGCGATCAGGGGGCGAAGGCTCCGGGCAGGCCCATGTCCGGAGAGAAGAAGGCCAGGGTCCCCGTTTTATGGTGGCCAGGGCACGGAGCCTAGGCGGGTTGTACACAGGGCACTCCCAGCACAAGTGGTTGAGATCAGCCCGGCAGTTGCACGTGGAGCAGAGACCTGTCACGGGTGGTGGCGTGTCACCCCTGTGGAAACGGTTCAGCAAGAAAGGGGTAAGGAGTGTTCCTGCCTGAATTCTCCGAAGCAGGACAGACTCTCTCCGTGTGAATACCTTCGAAGGAAGCAATGGTATCGAGAGTGGATTACCCACTGCTGTGAGGTAGGCGGCGCGACGTTGTTTGGTAATGTGCTTATCTGCTATCGGATCTGCTAGCTCGGGTGGGGTAGCCAGAAAAGTGGAAGGAGTATCGGAAGCTCTGGCTAGCGCGGTGAGGAGATGAGCGCGCGCTAATCTGTGAGCCTTCTCGTTTCCGGGGATACCGCAATGCCCGGGGACCCAGTGGATGGTAACGTCATGACCACATTCGCGGAGCAGGCGCGTCTGGTGTCGGATCTTCTGGAGTACAGGATCTGTGTAAAGAACATTAGCGCATGCCCGATGGGCAGCCTGGGAATCAGTGTACACACGATGGTGAACAGGGTCAGTTTGAGGTGACATTTCGAGGGCCCACTCCAAATAATCTAAGATGCCCACTAGCTCTGCTCGAGTGCTATACATCGCATCTGCTGAAGCATGATAACGTCGGCTCTGATTTCTGTTTGTCTGGTCGTACCACGCAGTGGCATAACAAGTGTTACTGGTACCGTCTGCAGGAAGTGCAGCGTCAGTGTATACGACGCGTTCAGTCATGGGGAGTGAACTCGTGGCCCTAGCATGTCTCTTGGCGTAGTTAAGGCGCCGTGCTCGCTGATTAGGGTCCATATTCAACGGAAGTGGCTTGCCGTCGGTGAGTACCGTGATTTCCCAAGGCGGCGTTTTGTTAGGCAGCATGGGCAGTGTGTTGATGTCATACCCGAGAAGCATAAGCGTGTATCGCCCGGCATTTGTTGCGCGAAGCCTCGTTTCCTGTGTGTGGATGTGCATGTCGATGAGCTCGGTCAGATTATTGAGCTTGCTGCAGCTCTTGAGCGCATCCAGGCGTGTGTACCTTGGTAGTCCGGTAACCATGCGTTTGGCCTCGTTAAGCAGCCGGTCGAGTTTGATTATCTGCGTACGGTTGACCGGATGATACGGCAGTCCATACATGATACGTGAGACGAGAAAAGCTTGAACAAACTGCCGCATTTCGCGTTCGTTTACTCCACGAGTGCGATTAGAGATTCTGCGTAAAGCATGAAGGATTTGTTTGCTAGTCTTCGTAACGCGTTGGAACCAAGTGCTCGCTGTGCAATTCTCGTCTAAGTGCATTCCTAATATTCGGATAGTGGATTTCCTCATTATAGGTTGATTGCCAATGTGAAGTTTAAAACACTTCTTTTCTTCCTGCTTGGCAAACGTGGTTCGGCCACCATGAATGACGACAAACTCTGTTTTGTCTGGAGCGGTGTGTAAACCTGCTTCCATTGCGTAGTCGTGAATAATGTTGAGGGCTCGTTGTAAGACATCCTCCTGCTCACCGACGGATCCTTGATGCGTCCACACGGTTACATCATCTGCATACACCGCGTGTTTCAGGCCCGGTACGTTCGCAAGGCGTCTTGGTAGCTGGTACATGGCTATGTTAAAGAGGGTGGGTGAAATCACCGAGCCCTGGGGAACACCTACGTGGTTGGTTCGTACGGTACTGGCGTCTTGGCCGATTTCGACTTGGTAGCTTCGCCCTTCGAGGAAGCCCGCTATGAAGTTATACATTTTCCCTTTAATCCCAAGGGCACGTGCTTTCGTCATGATGGTACTGTGTGGTACGCCATCGAATGCTTTGCGTATGTCCACTGCTACAACAGCCCGTGGGTGCACCGAGTTAGAGTCGAGGACGTCTTCTTTTAGGCGAAGGAGTACATCTTGAGTTGATAGGCCCGCGCGGAATCCGTACATTGTAGGGGCCAAAAGGTCGCGATCTTCAAGGTACCACATCAAGCGTGTGTTAACCATGCTCTCCATGACTTTGCAGACACACGAGGTTAAAGAGATCGGGCGGAGGTTGGATAAGGTATGGGGTGGTTTACCAGGCTTCGGTATGGGCTTGACTACCGAAAACTTCCATGTGGAGGGCAGTATTCCGGTATCCCAGACTGTATTAAACTCTTTGAGGAGAGCGTGTTTGTACTCAAGAGGCATATTGCGTAAATGAGCAACGCATACTCCATCGGCTCCTGGAGCACTACGTGTGTTAGCATGTTGCAAGGCATACTCCAGCTCGAGCATGGTGAAAGGGCTATTAAATGGCTCAGTGTCTTCAGAGCTTGCATCCTTCCGGTACGTATTGGCTGTGGGGCGAGATGTCTGCGGGAAAAACACTTCAGCAGCTTGTTCGGCGAGCTCCTGTGTGCTGATGCCCTCCCGGAGGGCCACACGAGCCGCGCCATTGTAGGTCTTGCGTTGGCCGAGGAGAGAGCGCAGGATGGTCCAGACCTTTGACGTGTGGGTCTGCCCATTCACCTTGGTTCAACATATCTCTTAAGCGTCTTAACAATAAGAAAAAGCGATTATATCGCTCGGCTAAACTGTCTAACAGCGCGAGCGCTTGGAACAAGTACCGCGGAACTGCAAAGGAATTTGAATCACTCGCTGCGAAGGCTAAGCGTTCTTTTTTCTCTTGTACATTACCTAATATGCTACAAAATAACCCTAAACTATTTTGAAGAGCCATTAACCCCAACCCCACTAAAACGTTACTCTTACTTGATGAACACGGCGATCCTATTCCAGGACATGTTACCCCTCAAGTGTTAAATACTGCCTTCTCTTCCGTATTTACCCCTGAATCTTGCAGCCCGCTTCCAGACTCACCATTTCTTGATCATCCTGTCATGCCAGGCATTACATTCAATTCATACGGTATTGCAAAACTAATTGACGAATTGAAACTAACGTCATCCGCGGGAATGGATGGCATCAATTCCAAAATTCTGAAAAACACTAAGCCTATAACAAGCATAATTCTTTCGCACATATTTCAGCAGTCCATTTCATGCGGAGTGATGCCAGAAGACTGGAAGCTTGGTAAGATCGTTCCTGTCCCGAAAAAAGGAAAGGTCTTTCATATTCACTGAGTAATTATCGCCCCATATTCATCACAAGTGTATGCTCTCAATTATCGGAACACATAATTTATTCCCGCGTAGTAATTTTTCTAGCTTCAGTACATTTCTTTCACCCTAACCAACACGGTTTTAAAAAAGGACTTTCATGTGACACTCAACTCGCTCTGTTCGTTAACGACCTGAGATCTAGCCTGGATAATAACATACCTGTAGGTGCCATTTTCATTGATTTCGAAAAAGCCTTTTACAAAGTTTCTCATAACAGATTATTTTTGAAGCTTTCACGTCATAACCATAATTGCCTTGTTTTTAATTGGATATGTGACTTCTTGACTAACCATAAGCAGTTCGTTTGTGCTAATAACCATCGCTCCTCCCTGTAACCTGCTGTAACCTCCGGCGTACCTCAAGGCACAGTCCTTGGTCCTCTACTATTCCTAATCTATATTAACGACCTCCCCAATAGCTTAGCGTCTAACATTCGTCTGTTCGCAGACGACTGTGTCATTTATCGTCCTTTTCACAATTCTAACGACCCTGTCATCCTACAGTCTGATCTTTGTTTGATTCAATCATGGTGCGAAAAATGGCTGATGTCCCTTAACATAAAGAAAACTTGTATCATTTCCTTCCATCGCCGTCAATCCTATTTCTCTAATAAATACTTCCTATTTGATTCTGAAATAACAGCAGCTAATTCATGTAAATACCTCGGTATCACTCTAACTTCAGATCTGACCTGGTCATTCCACATTATGAACATCACTAATAACGCCAACCGCGTGCTTGGCTATCTCCGAAGAAACTTACGTCTAGCCCCACCTTCTGTTGAACTTTTAACCTGTCTAACACTAGTCCGCCCAAAGCTAGAATACGCATGTGCCATCTGGGATTCCCATCAAATAACTCTTATAAAACGCTTGAAGCTATCCAAAGCCGTGCAGCCAGGTTCATTTATTCTGACTATTCCTATCTTAGCAGCGTCACCAAACGAAAATCTCATGCTAACATGGTTAGCTTAGCTTCATGCCGCAAAATTTTAAGACTGTGTTTGTTTCACACATTTTATCATGCATTGCACCTAAACCATGTTATCGTTCCAGCCCATCGTCTTTCATGCCGTATCAGCCATTCGAAAGCGGTTTATCCACCCCGTGCGCATACCACTGCCCATCACTCTTCATTTTTTGTGCAAACATCAACAGAATGGAACGATCTTCCTGCTGACATCGTGCACCACTCCAGCATCGCCCATGTCAAAGAAGCCATCGAACAAATCATCTGTTTGTGAACTGTCTACCTCCTCATGTAACACCCCTTGACTGGGGCCCTTGAGGTATTATAAATAAATAAAAAATACAATAGGTATGATGTTGTCAGAGGAATATGGAAAGGGGTCATGGTTCCTGGTCTGACGTTCGGTAATGCGGTCTTGTGCACTGAGATTAGAAGTTCAAGCAAGATTTGAAATTAAGCAACGTGGAATAGGTAAGCTTGCCTTAGGAGCTCACGGGAATACACCAAATCAGGGAGTACAAGGTGATATGGGATGGACATCAGTTGAGGGCAGAGAAGCTAGCAGCAAGATAAAACTTGAGAAGCGATTGAGAGAAATAGGAGAGGACCGTTGAGCTAGGAAGGTTTTCAGCTACTTGTACATGAAGAATGTCGATACAAAATGAAGGAAGCGAGCCAGAAAATTGAGTGGTAAATACTTAGAAAACAGCAGATGGCTAAACCAAAAAGAACTATCGGTTAAGAAGAAAGTGGAGGAGACGGAGACTGACATGTGGAGAATTGACATGATTAAGGAGTCCGCACTAGAGGTATATCGTACTTTTAAGCATGAAATTGCCGAAGAAAGAATCTATGATAATACCCGGGATAGTTCTCTACTGTTGGAGGCCAGGACGGGAGTATTGTGAACCAAGACATATCGGGCCAAATACGAAAGGGTAGACACGATATGCTGCGCGTGTGGAGAGGAAGAAGAAACTGCCGAACACTTGATAATGTTCTGTAAAGGGCTTCGCCATATAGTTCGGAATGATGGCGCAGAGTTTTTCAAAGTAGTTGGGTTTAGGGACAGGGAGGGCAAAATAGACTTTAAGCGGGTAGACTTAGCTAGAAGGAGGTTATCTGATTGGTGGCTAAAGTCAAGGTACGAGTGAAAATCAAACCCTTCACTGCAAAGTATGAATCCTCAACCTCACTTTTTAAAAGGAAAATGTTGCATCCGCCGGAAGAGAAAGACCAAGACCTTACATAACACCTTTATTCACGGCACTGCATGCTTGCAGCACAAACCAACGATTCACACAGCAACAGAACAAGAGCCAGAATATATACGCCCACCAGCCACTCGCGCAAGTACGATGACATGGTGACGTCACTAACACTGTTCATCGGCGATGCCTTTCACGCACCGTAATACCGATAACAACACAACACTTCTTCATCACTAGATCAAAAACGGTCGTAACACCAACGCTCAGGAGGCCGCCTTTCCCGGTTGCTCCATCTAAGAGGAATTGCATTGTTATTATCGGTTAACCCCGGGTCCGGCGGCCTTTGTTCAACCTGAGGGTCCGGTTGCACCACAGGCAGTGGCGGAGAGGCGACCTCGGAGGCGTGTGGCAGGCATATTTCACGACGTGGGGTTCGGTCGTCGAGCACAGAATGTCGTAAATGATCAGCATGCACAAAACGCACTTGGTTTCCAAGAACAACCAAATACGTAGTTGGAGACTTCACTCGCGTAACTTTTCCTGGCAGCCATTTCACCGATTCTCCTCGCACGAAACGAACCAACACACGGTCACCAACCTATATCGCGGCTTCGCTCTGCGCTTATCGGCTGACTGTTTCATCCTTTCTACTTTCTCGGTCATGGCCTTTGTCAGATGCGGCCGCACCAAAGACAACCTGGTACGCAACTGTCTTCTCAAAAACAGTTCAGCCGGTGTCTTTCCAGTGAAGGTATGCGGCGTTCTGCGATAGCACAACAGAAAGTTATCTATTCTTTGCTGAAGTGTTCTTGCACTGCCTTTTTCTTTGTCCTCCAACAACTGTTTAAACAGGGCCGTCTTAGTTGTTTGTACCACCCGCTCCACCACCCCGTTGGACTGCGGGTGGTACGGGGGTGTGAACGTCTGCTTTACACCATGCGCTTTTAGAAAGCTTTGGAATTCATCAGCCCGAAATTGCGGCCCGTTATCTGTTACTACTTCTAAAGGAAGTCCGTGCGCGGCAAACAAAGACCGAACCACTGCCACTGTCATAGTAGCAGTCGTCATGCTACATACTTTAACTTCTAGCCACTCACTGTAAGCATCAACTGCTAATAGGAACATTTTACCTTCCTTCTCGGCGAAATCAAGATGCACCCTTTCCCATGGGTGTTCGCACAATTTCCACGGGCTCAAAGGCGCTAGCTGTGCAGCTGTTTGTACGTTTCGACAAACGCTGCATTTTCGCATGGTTCCTTCTAATGCATCATCAACTCCTGGCCACTAAACCATTGACCTTGCAACCATTTTCATCTTTGTGATTCCGACGTGTTGTTCGTGCAGCAGATTCATGACAACTCTCTGCAAACAATTTGGAATAACTACCCTATTCGTCCAAACAACGCAACCAGCATCAACAGAGAGTTCGAACCGTCGCACCCAGAATGGTTGCAGTTCTTGAGCGACAGCTTTCGGCCAGCCGTGCCAAATCAAGTCGCGCACTACTGATAGTAGCTTATCGCGCGTTGTTTCACGCTCTATATCTTTTGCTGTTAGCGGTAGTTCGTCCAGAGTGGCAAAATAAAAAATGTCTTCCATTTGCTCAGAGGTCTGGGGCAATGGCAGTCTAGATAAAGTATCTGCGTTACTGATTGCCGTGCCCGGCTTATGTGCAATCTTATAGCTGTAGTTAGCAAGGAAAACAGCCCACCGGTGTACTCTAGCTGTGGCTACAGCACTAGCTTTCCTTTTCGGGTCGAAGAGTACGGTGAGAGGTTGATGGTCGGTAAGAACCTTAAAAGTTCGACCATACAGTAGTTATGAAATCGCTTCAGACCAAACACAATGCTCAAAGCTTCTTTCTCTATTTGGCTGTAACTACGCTCCGCATGTGATAGTGATCGCGACGCAAATGCTATTGGCTTCTCTGTGCCGCCCACAACATGCGACAAAACAGCTCCCAAACCGTACTCGGAGGCGTCACACGTTAGCTGTATTTCTTTGTTGACATCATACAACTCAAGCACATTTTTGTTAGTAAGCATTTCCTTACAAGTTATAAATGCCTCATCACATTGGCGTGACCAATCCCATGCTGATTCTCGACGCCACAATTTATGCAGGGGCTCTAAAACTGTAGCCAGATTTGGAAAAATTTTGAGTAGTAATTTACCAAGCCCAAAAAGGCTTCGAGCTGAGTCACATTGTCCGGTTTTGGCGCCTGCTTGATGGCAGCTACTTTATCCGCCGTAGGATGCAACCCATTCTGGTCAACTTCATGACCCAGGTATCTGATTCGTTCTTGGAACAGCTTACACTTCTCAGTGTTGACCCGTATGCCATGTTCTCTTAGGCGTATGAGCACCTGCTCCAACCTGTCATGGCATTGCTTTCTGTCTGCGCCTGCGATGACAACGTCATCTAAGTAACAGGCCGTTACTGAGAGGCCGTGTAGGATCTGATCCATCACGGCCTGGAACACCGTTGGTGCACAGGCTACGCCGTATGGCAAGCGCCGGAACCTGAACAGCCCCAGGTGGATATTGACAGTGAGCAGTTTTTGTGCTCGCTCGTCCAATTCGAGCTGTTAGTACGCCTTGGACAAGTCCAAAACCGAAAAGACCGTTCCACCATGTAAAGTTGCAAAAATATCCTCTGGCAGAGGGAGCGGGTACTGGTCTACCTCAATGGCAGGATTTACTATGACACGGTAGTCACCACATAGCCGAAGCTCCTTGCCATTTTTCTTAAGCACGATCACCAGAGGTGTCGCCCACGCACTGTGCCGCACCCGGTAAATGACTCCAGTTTTTTCTAAGTTTGCCAATTCGTGCTCGACTTGTTCGCGTAGCGCATACGGCACTAATCTCGTGCCTTACAGAATACAGGTGACGCATTTTCTTTAACAACAATGCTCTCCTTGAGCCCTCTTATCGCTCCGTAACCCGGCTCAAACACTTCGCGGTATTTGTCAGTCAAGGGAGTTTCTTTTGTCAGTGCCTTCACTTGCATAACTTCATGCCATCGGATTTTGATTTTATTCATACAGTTACGGCCAAACAACGTAGGCATTCTGGCACATTTCGTCTCTTTGGCAATTACTAGCGGCAAATGAAAGCACTGCTCGTGGTATTGCACTTCAACGTCAATGACGCCTTTGGTATCAACGGGTGTACCGTTATATGTAACAAGTCTGACATCTGTTTGCCTGAAATTTGCCCCAGGAAAATACTTCGCGCACTCTGCTTCGGACATAATAGAAACTGCCGCTCCCGTGTCTAGTTCCATGGGTACGTCTTTCTCGTTTAGTCTTACATTTATTGCAATGGCCCGGTTGCCCGAACAGTTATCGGTGTGACAAAGCGTTAGCATTTCAGTGTCCGACGAGTGCTGCTCTTCTAGCTGATGTACAACGCTGCTTTTACACATTTTCGCGACATGGCCCTTCTTTTGACATTTATAACACCTGCTGTTCAGAAAAGGACAACTTACAGGTGCGTGTTGTCCACCGCATCGCTGATAGATAGTCTTAGTCCGTGTCACCGAAGTCTTTGTGTTGCCGGAGCCGTGGCCGGTGCATGCCCCACTTTGTGAACTCCGACGCAACGCTGCTGATTGGCTCTGCCAATGTATGTCACTGCAGCGGGCTGACTGTTCGGCGGTGTTTTCCGCGACCATTTCCACGGCGTCTTTCGCTGCCGCCTCCATGGCCGTAGCGGTGTTGCAGACGCGGTCCCAGGTGAGCTCGCTGTCGCTCATGGCCAGCAACCGGCAACGTATGGCTTCGGAATGCAGGCCTGCTATCAGGCGGTCACGAAGCGCTTGTTTCAAAAAGGCGCCAAAGTCACATAATGATGCCAATTTCTTCAGCTGCACCACAAATTCTGCGACAGTTTCTTGAGAGGCTTGCTTCCTTTGGTTGAAATGGTATCTTTCACTCACCACTGACCGCCTCGGAGAATAGTGCTTCTTCAGGGCCGACACGACTTCCGGGTATGACGACGTGCTTGGCGTCTTGGGTAGTAGCAGACTTCGGAGCGCCACGTATGCTTCTTCTCCGATGGCGCTCAAGAACAGATGTAGTTTCTTGGCCTCGGCGATCTCATTGACTGTGGTGTAGAGCTCGAATCTTTCGACGAACACGTCGAAGCTGCCGCTGCCGGGAGCGAATTCCGGTAGCTTGCTGAGAGCCATTGCCGTCTTCAGTTCTTGTCCAATCCCATCCTCGTCGCCACTTTGTTGCATCCGCCGGAAGAGAAAGACCAAAGCCTTACAGAACACCTTTATTTACGGCACTGCATGCTTGCAGCACAAAGCAACGATTCACACAGCAACAGAACAAGAGCCAGAATATATACGCACACCAGCCACTCGCGCAAGTACGATAACATGGTGACGTCACTAACACTGTTCATCGGCGATGCCTTTCACGCGCCGTAATACCGATAACAACAAAACAGAAAAAAATAAATCTAGTTTTTGGTTCATTAGGTATTACGGCTTGGTGGTGCTAACCACCACCCAATCTAAAGGGTACAGCCATATTCATCGATCCATCCATGGAAGAATTTTGGGAGGGACGTTGTAGCTGAGCCGGTTGTGAGCTGGTTAAGCCCTGCAGAGCAACAGAGTGTGAGCCAGGTTGTGTGGCTGTGGACATTGTTGCGCCGAAGTTTTGCCGTCAGCTTTGAGCGTTACGCACCACGCAAGATGACAGTATGCTTTACAGTGCAGACTGTAACCATGCCGCGACAACGGCAAAACCACTGTTAGGCGCTCGGGTGTCTAACAGGCAATGTGTTCGTGAAGAGTAAGCAGGACCTGTCATTTTTTCGCGTCCTGAAAGATGAAAACAGACCGAAAGAATGCGAGAAGAACCAGCACAGAGCAGACAAGCTTCCGGAAGACATCAATGCAGTTTGTGAACTCCACTTGCAACCGCGTCTGTGCATATTATCGATAGAAAAAAAGTGCGCATACCTCACCCATTATCCACACCGAGGCTGTTTTCACCTTGTTCGGCTGACCAACTTTTGTAACCGAGGAGGCCTCCTTCATCCCTCAAGTCAGATGTACAGCTTCAAGAAAAAGCTCGAGGATATTTTCACAGAACGATTTTTCCAGAGTAAGGTGCACTCTGACAGCATTATGGACATTCTGGCAATTGTTCAGCGCAGACTCTTGATTGAAGTTGGTTGCAGTGTACACGCAGCTACCCTCAAAGCGAAAGGAATTACTTTTTACGTTGTCACACGTCTTCATTCAATTTGAAAGGACTGAACACTGACAATTATGCAGGGAAGTGGCAGAGGGCCAAGCGCCTCAAGATGAGCCGTCACACATGAAGTGAATAAGATGTGTAAATCAGTGGCTAGATGGTGTACTTCAGTTCTTGCTAATAAGAGCTTCATGTATATCTTGATTTAAAGAGAATATATAATTTTAATATTATAATAACTTTTCATTTTATAATAATAGTTATAATATTTATTTAAAGAGAATATCTAGAATTAAATATATTCTGAGCGCTGACTATGTACTTCGTCTTCATCTGTATGACCAAACCATTGTATAGTGATCATCATCGTATGTCACGCGGGCTGTCTCTCTGGCTCGTGCGTCTGGATTAAAAAGATAACCTGGTTGCTGCCGTACCGGACGTGGTCTCATAAGTGGCGGAGCGTGCTTTGGTTCCCACGTCCTCCTGCTCTACCCGTCACCCCTGGAGCTCCGGTCTGGTCGACGGTTGTGCCCTCAAGTAACAGCGATGGCAGAGCCCAACGCGTCCGCTGCTGCAACCGCTCCTTCTTAGCCACTTAGGCTTCCCTACTCCGTGAGTACCTCTCATCAAGACCCTCCGGTATTTTCCGGCCTTCGCAACGAAACGTCGAAGAATGGCTGGACAGTTATGATCGGACCAGCGTTTGTAATTATTGGGACGAGGCGCACAAGCTGCGCTACGTTCCTTTTTACCTCGATAGCGTCGCTAAAACCTGGTATTACAACCACGAGAGCGACTTCTCCAATTGGTCGGCCTTTACGGGGCATCTCCGTCAGGTATTTGGCACGTCTGCAGGATGTTCTGTAGTAGCGAAACAGAAGCTCGCAACCCGCATACAGGGGGACGACGAAGCGTATACGTCCTACATTGAAGATATTCTGGCTCTCTGTCGCCGAGCACAAAATGAAATGACGGAGGCTGATCGCATCCGACATCTATTGAAAGGTATCAACGCTGTGGCCTTCAATGCTCTCGTGATCCAGAATCCGACTACCGTCCGGGACGTCATCACTACATGCCAACGCCTGGACGCGCTTCATTTCATGCGCCTTCCACACGCCTCCTGCGACGCTCGCTTTACCAAAGAGCATAAATTGCGGGCCCTTATCCGCACAAATGTGAGAGAAGAACTTCACGGCCTTATTCCAGGCAACCCTACCGTTGCGTTTGTCCACACACATCCTCCCAACCTGCGAGAGATAATCAAGGACGAACTGGCATCAATTACAAGCGCTGCACATGCCCCGTCTCCCGCGCGCTTCCCAGTGCCTTCGTACGCAGAAGTTGCATCGCGGGCCCCGGCACCAGTTCCAACCGTGCCTGCGGACGTCGGATGTGACCATGTGGCTGCGATGACAACGCAAGCGCCAAGGCCACGCCACCATTTTACATGGCGTCCTCCGCGCCCCATCTACTTCTACTGTGGCATAAGGGGTCATATACCCCGTTTCTGCCGCCGCCGTCAGCAGGATGAACGACGTGGTTACTCCGCTTACGAGAGAGACTATGCCCCGAGACCCGATGAATACGATCCCGCACCGTATCCATCCACCTCCCGTCAGTCGCCCTCCCCTCCACGGTCTCATGCTGGTCCTCATCCTTCTCGTTCATCTCGCCGCCGTTCTCCGTCACCGTTTCGGCGTACGTCATCACCCTTGCGTCCCGCTCCGATCTCTCTGGACTCGGAAAACTAGAAGGTGCAGTTTTTGGAGGGGAAACTGCTTGTTGTCGGAACGTTACAACTCCTCCATCTCGTCCAGCTAATTTACTGCTTGTTTGTGTGGAAGGTGTTTTGTTGACGGCCTTATAGACACTGGAGCCGCAATGTCAGTAATTGATCGTGAATTGTGTTTTCGCCTGCGTAAAGTGCAAACTCCTTATGCCGGTCCCATGTTATTCGGCGTTAATGACAGTCCTATTCGCCCGACCGGGTTGTGCACTGCTCGTGTTCTCATTGATGGAATCCGTCATCACATACAATTGGCTGTGCTGTCTTCGTGCGCTCATCAGATAATCTTATGCTGGGACTTCTTGTCAGCGGCGTCTGCTGTAATTTCGTGTGGTCGGCCCCTCATTCGTATTACGGACACTGAGCTTTTTTCTGCTGCCGACCTTTTGTCGCCCAACCTTGTGACAGCTGCAGATTTCCTCCTGCCTCCTGGACAAGAACGTGTCCTTACGATCAAGTCACGAGACATTCTAGATGGTGACGCTGTGGTTGTTCCTTGCCAGCGCTGAATTTTTCGAGGGATCACCATCGCATCTTGTTTAGTGCGGTTCTCCCATGGTTATGCAAGGATCACGGCCTGCAACACGACGCCAGAACCACTTCTTTTGCCAGAGGGGACCACTGCTGCCAGCATTACCGAAGAGGCACCGCTTTGTGTCGTCACTGGTTCATTTGCTTCGTCATTCTCAAAGTGTCTGCCAGCGAAAGATGCATTTCCTGCTCTCAAGGCCACTTTGTGTGAACATCTCAACCCAACGCAAACTGATGCCTTGCTAACGTTATTAATGAAGCACAAAACTTGCTTTGACGTTTGTTCCGAAGGTCTGGGTCAAACAACAGTGACCGCCCATCGTATCGACACCGACGGATCCCGTGTGATTCGCCACCGCCCTTACCGTGTGTCGGCTTCTGAACGCAAGCTTATAGAAGAACAAGTCAACGACATGCTCGCGCGCAATGTCATCAGGCCTTCGACAAGCGCATGGTCTTCTGTCGTACTAGTGAAAAGAAAAGGATGTCTCGGTACGGTTTTGCATTGATTACAGATCACTCAACAAAATCACTCGTAAGGACGTCTACCCAATGCCTCGCATTGACGACGCTCTTGATACTTTACAAGGTGCCGAGTACTTTTCAAGTCTCGACTTGCGCTCCGGTTATTGGCAGATTCCAATGCACGAGTCTGATAAAGAGAAGACTGCGTTTGCTACGCCAGATGGACTCTATGAATTCAACGTGATGCCTTTCGGCCTGTGCAATGCCCCAGCCACATTCGAACGGATGATAGACACGGTACTGCGGGAATTAAAATGGGAGACCTGCCTTCGCTACCTGGACGACATTGCTATCTTTTCGTCCACCTTCTCACAGCACCTTGAACGGCTAGACGAAGTCCTCACGTGTTCAGCTAAGGCTGGTCTCCAGCTCAACACTAAGAAGTGTCGGTTTGCCAGTCACAGCATCAAGGTATTAGGTCACGTCGTCAGTAAACATGGCGTTGAGCCCGATCCCGACAAGGTTGCCGCGGTACTGCACTTTCTTACACCAACCATACAGAAAGACCTCCGCAGCTTCCTTGGCTTAGCGTCGTATTTCCGCCGCTTTGTACGTGATTTCGCTACTATTGCGGCTCCTCTGCACAAACTTCTGACCACGAGCGCACCCTTTGTCTGGTCGGATGACTGCGAAGCCACTTTTCACACCCTCAAGCGATGCCTCACATCACGGCCAGTGCTTAGCCATTTCGACCCTGCAGCACATACTGTGCTACACACTGACGCAAGTGGACTTGGCATCGGTGCTGTCCTTCTTCAGCGGAACCACGCTTCCGAAGAACAAGTCGTGGCCTACGCAAGCCGTACTCTGTCACCTGCTGAGCAAAACTACAGCATCACTGAGCAAGAATGTCTCGCCATCGTGTGGTCCATACAAAAGTTTCGTCCTTACTTATACGGCCGGCATTTCACAATAGTGACTGACCATCATGCTCTGTGTTGGTTATCGTCTTTCAAAAATTTGTCGGGACGCCTTGGCCGTTGGGTACTATGATTGCAAGAGTATGACTACAGCGTCACATATAAGTCGAGCCGAGAGCACCAAGATGCCGACACTTTGTCCCGTTGTCCGGTCTCGCAAAGCGCCGAAGTGTCACCTTCCATCTGTTCGTCACCGCCCGCCAAAGTGACCAAACAGACGGCTGCTGCTTCGAAACAGTTAGTTGCCTCGGCGGACCTT